TGTAATTTTTAATAAATGAACTATAGTAAAGATATTTACTATCTTATAATCACCAAAGATTTTATTAGTATCATTAACTTTCACGCTTATTGCATAAATTCCAAATTGAATCTTTAGTGAAACTATCTCTGGTTACATGAAGAAGTAATTTAAATCCGTATCGATTATTTGTTGCTAAATATATGTTGGCTTATACAACTATCTAATTCTAATTAAGTAGTTAGTTTAGGTTTAGGTTTTGTTTTGTTTTTGTTTTGTTTTTTTTTTAATTACTAACCAGTACTCAGGCAGATTTTTAATATAGACAATCAGGTAATTTTCTTCATCATCTACCAAAATTACTATTTGTTTCTCTGATTCTGTTTTAATACTGTGAGGAATACTACATTTTTTAAATGAATTAATGATCATATTAGCTAGAATATCAGCTCACGTCTCAACTATCTATTAACAAATAAGATTATATAGAGATTTTTTTAAATTTTCTCCTTTCGTAAAATTAAAACCACCAAGTGCTATCCAGTTTTGCTATTTTTCTCACATTCGGTTCTTGAACAGTTTGTTGATATACACATCAAGTGGCTAAACTAATGAAGTAAGTCCACCAGAAATTATGCCTCTAATCGTGTTCATTTTATTATATTTTGCTTTAACAGAGTCAGTAAGATGTCTTTCAAAAGAATCCATTACTAATAAGCTACATTTTTGTTTACAAATTGAAATTCTTTTTTTCCAAATTTCATCTAACTATTCATTCATTAAAGTTTCATCTATTCACTCATTTTCTTGCATTTTAATAATGATACCCAAGGGAAACAGACCTTGAAAAAGTCTTTTGTCTTTGAAAATTATCATAAGAGGGAGTTTAACTCCATCAGCCAAGATTGCAAAAACACACGTAAACAGTTTTTTTCATTGCCTATAGTTAGGGTTGAAAATTTTTTGTAAGTTTAAAATTTCTTATATAAGTTACATGTAAGTTATAATAAGTGTCTTAGTGTAAATTAAACTATAATATATCCTGTGTAGTTGGGTATAAAGAAAATTTTGCAGTGAGTATAATTGGCCACTTACATGGCCAATTATACTCACTACAAAATTTTTCTCATACCCAACTATACAGGATATAACTATTATATACAAAGTTTGCCTAACTCTACTGTAGTTCTTATTTGAACTGTTTTTGCTAAATAGTAATTTATAGTAAGTTTGTCAACTATATCAAAGTAAATGGATGTTTCATCTATATTTGCTATACAGGATAACTCATAGTTATTTATACGTTGTGACTTTTTGATAAATTCATAAAACCGATTTAATTGTTCAGATAATTCATGAGGAAGTTTTTGTCCAACTTTAATATAGTGTCGAAGCACAAAATTATATCAGTTCATAAATCCTTGGCACCAAGAATTTGAAGCTTCAAAAGTTTCTAAAGTATTAGAGTAGTCTTGTTAAAATCTAGTTCTAAAAAGCTCTTTTATTTTAAGCTTTATTGTAGATAATATTACTGCAAGACTATCTTGTCGTAATTGAACAACCCATTTATTTAACACCTCCTCTGCAAGAGGATATACAGCTTTCTTTCAGAACTGACACTTCTACATGAACGCATAGCTTCTTCTAACTTTTTTCTTGTTTTTGCCATCTGGATACTTGAGAATGATCAACACCGAATATTTGTACTACTGCTTTATTAGACATTTCTTTTGCTTTTGAAATAATTTCAAGCTTTTGTTTAACCATATAACTTTTACGTTTTGTAGACATATTTGATCAATCTTCAATATTTACAATTGGCTTTATATAGCTTCTTATGATGTTATTGCATAACCTTAAATATCATGCACTGGTAATCTTAAAGCTTCTTTTTTTTTTTTTTTTTTTTTTTAATTTTTTTTTTTTTTTTTTTTTTTTTTTTTTTTTTTTTTTTTTTTTTTTTTATTTTATTTTATTTTTTATTTTATTTTTTTTTTATTTTATTTTTTTTTTTATTTTATTTTTTTTTTATTTTATTTTTTATTTTATTTTATTTTTTTTTTTATTTTATTTTATTATTTTATTTTATTTTATTATTTT